CTAATCATGTTTGTAGATCAGGATTTTCAGATTTAACCCCTTCCGTGTTTATTGCCAAAGCCCATTCACGTGCCCAGGTGCTACTTGGATGGGTAGAGGCAATGGGCACGATGACCTAGTTCATAAGAATAATAATTAATAAGCGGCTGGCATTGTGTTAGTATATCGTGCACGACGTAATCTCCACATATGGTGTGTGTGTTTTTAGGCTGTGGGATTGCGTCGGTTTAATAACTTTTTCATTTACTTTTAATTTGAAACAATATTTTATTCAACAAGATGTACGATGAACGTATAAACCAAATACTATTGTTATCATTACTATTACCATGATTATTACCATTACTATGAAATATTCTATATCAAAGTAGTTAATTAAATTTTGTAATTATCATTATACGCAATGATTGCTAGCCTTGCCAGACGATTTCAGTGAAAAATGGTACGTACCGTAGAGTGTGATGTGAGATGAAACTCGGGTGACGGAGGCGTCCCGGGACGTTCTCTCTAGTTTAGGCTTTTGCGCCCGGGTGGAGTGTATGGGGGTCGTGGAATGAATTTTTGTGAGAATGTGATTTTGCCTTTTTTAAATATAGCGTTAGGTAGGTAGGTAGTATACCTTCTGGTGTGTGTGATAGATTGTAAGTAGGTAGGGCCGGGACAGGTTGTCACAGTCTCTTGGTCGGGTAGGCGCGATTTCGCGTGATCAACCTGTACCTGGAATATATTTGAAGAATTGACGATACTATCGATACGAACGGAGTATGCCGTTCGCCTTCGATTCTATCTGTACAATTTTTCAAATTTTTGGCGACTTCATAAGTCGTCATACGCGATCGCGATGGCACGAAACGCACAAGTTCTGCTCGAGCACGGCACGTGTGCACGAACAACGACTTATATAAAGTCCTTTTTCGTCCTCGTGTCAATTAGAGTTTCGCGATTTTTCTTTTCTGTTGATTGTTTTTTTTTTTTTATTTTGCGAATTTGCAAGTCTCGAGCTTTAGATATAAGTTTCAGGTGGGTGGACCGCCCGAAGAAAGAAGTGGCTATATGCCGAAGCGCCCCGACAAACTGTCTTTCAAGAGGGGAACTACTAATGATTTTGCATCCTTTTGCAAAAAAGGATGGGAAATCATTATCGTTACTACTTTGTCACTGTGCTCGCCTGTAGTTGTAGTTTTGTAATTTCAGGACAAGAGGGGGCCCGTGACCCCCATGATTTTGGGCAAATCGCGTTTTTAATTTAGTGTTGCGAATATTGACCACGGTTCAATTTAGTGTTGCGAATATTGACCACGGTTCAATTTAGTGTTGCGAATGAATATCGATCACGGTTCAATTTAATGTTGCGTATGCATGATTATCGCGATTTTCATTTAGCGTTGCGAACTTTAAATATCGCGTTTCTTTCTTGCATTGCTTTAAAATAGAATTTAACTTTTCAATGTTGATTGCTTTAGTGTTGCGAGTAAAAAATTTACGGTTTGAGAATCCCTCTTTTTTGCATTTTAATTGCATGTCTGTTAAAGATAGCGTTGCGATTGACATTAGCGCGATTGTTTCCCAGTGTTGCGACCTATAAATACGCGATTGCTTTGCATTAGTTTATAGAGTTCCCTGCTAATTAGTGTTGCGGTAATGAATATTCGCGTTTTGCATTAGAGTTGCGATATATGATGAAATGCCCAAAAACGATCCAGTGGAGTTGCCATGGTCCATAAGGCAGCTATGGACCAGCTGCCGTGATACAGCTTTGGATTGGCTGTACCCCTTTTTTAGATTAGTGTTGCGTCTTACAAAATTCGGTAGATTTGAGTAGTGTTGCGTTACAGTTCGCGTTTTCTCTTTTTTTCTTTTTTTCAGCTTAGTGTTGCGTATAATGGAGCAGCTTTCACGCGTACGCTTTTGTACATATTATATAATTAATGAAATTAGTGTTGCGAGTAAAAAATTCACGGTTTGAGAATCCCCCTTTTCTGCATTTTAATTGCATGTCTGTTAAAGATAGTGTTGCGAATGACATTAGCGCGATTGTTTCCCAGTGTTGCGACCTATAAATACGCGATTGCTTTGCATTAGTTTATAGAGTTCCCTGCTAATTAGTGTTGCGGTAATGAATATTCGCGTTTTGCATTAGAAATGCCCAAAAACGATCCAGTGGAGTTGCCATGGTCCATATGGCAGCTTTGGACCAGCTGCCGTGGTACAGCCGTGGATTGGCTGTACTCATTTTTTAGATTAGTGTTGCGTCTTAGAAAATTCGGTAGATTTGAGTAGTGTTGCGTTACAGTTCGCGTTTTTTCTTTTTTTCTTTTTTTCAGCTTAGCGTTGCGCATAATGGAGCAGCCTTCACGCGTACGCTTTTGTACATATTATATAATTAATGAAATTAGTGTTGCGAATGAATTCGCGATTGTTATTAAATTTTTTACTTTTTTGCATTTATTAAGTTAGTGGAAGTAACTATGACTCACATTCGGTGGGAATCCATTGGATTCCGCGGCCTAAGACCGTGAACACCATCTCTGGGAGATATACCCATGCATTACTAGGCCTTTGCAGGCGCAGTTTTAGAATACGGAACATATGAAAATATGTTACCATATTCTAAACTGCAGTCCTTTTGTCTATACTATGGGCGTCCGTCAATCTGACACCGTTGGATGCAACGTGTTGGACGGGCGGGTAGCGCTCTTAGCGAAGGGGTGCACTCTGTCCTGGCGTTACGACGTCCAGGCGGGGTGGGTGGTATGTAGCGTCTGGCGTAAGTCTAGGGGGCGTGAGACCCTTCGTTGCCAGCCGATGTTTTGTCATAGTTCAGAATGTTTGCAATTTTAAAATTAGTGTTGCGTGTGATTTCGGTTTGTTTATAGGGTTTGCTTAGGGATTGCTCTTATGGGCAGTCAAACTTTTCTTTTCAGGTTCCCATGTACCCTCCCTCCCATTGCCCCGCCCCCATTCTTTTTTTTCCCTTTTTTTAATTTTGAAAATTTTGAGCATTCGGTTATTGGAAATACTGTTAAATAATATATGAATTTAATGTTTTCTGAATATTATTAAATACAATAAAGTTTTAAATAGAACTTTATTCAGTTTTATTTAAAATGGATGTTCATTTTATTTTGTGATGATTGGTGATAAATTATTTCAAGGAATATTTGTTCATTTGAGATAGCTTATTAAATTTTAATTTTACTTTATTTAAACGATAGTAATGGGTGACTGTTGTTCGAGTTGTTCAGTTTTAATTTTTGATCGCGATATTTCGTTTCTAGCTTACAAAGAAGCTAATTAAATTACTTTTATAAATTTTCAAATTCTTTTCCTGAAAAACAAAGTCGTCTCGTGATTTTCTTTTCAGTTTTTCCATTTACAATAAATTCGCATTGAAAAGTGTATTGAATAATATAATGCAATAAAGTCGAGTAGAGTCATGGTTGTACGTATATTGCAGTAAAAGACAGTTATTTCAATTAAAATACTGTGTACTATTTGTCGCGAAATGAACAAATATTAAATATAATAAAATGAAAAAATTAATGTTCTTAACTCAAATCACTTAACCCAAATATATATTTTTCTAAATCTTTTTCTCTTTATTTTGGTACTAAAGTTTGCTTTTAATTCATATTTCGTATCAAATTGATTTTGAGTTATTAACAATTACTTTGACTTTTGTAAAATTTTATTGTTATTAATGTATCTTCTTTCCAGTTAATAATTTTTTTTTGTCTTTATCTGAATTCAATTAATCAGTTTCTGTTACAGAGAAATGTCTTTATAGGAAGTGTGAATTAATAATATTGGATAATAGACTGGAAGAAATATAATATAAAATCTAGCGTCTATAAATGGAATTCAATGTATCCAATTAAGTAAAACTAGATGAAAATGATTGAAAAGGAAAAATGGTTCTTATGAGTGGTAATATTTGAACCGTAATCTTTTCGAAAATTGTATTTAATCCTTTTCTGTTCGTTTCAGGAGATATTCTGATAGCAACAACAAAATCAACAAATTCATTATAGGTATTCGTTTATACTCCTTTAGATTTTAAAAATGATGTCTAACATTTTTCAGTTTATTTCTGGAAGTATTCTGGTGAGGACAACAAAATCAACAAATTTATTGTACTTATTTATGTATATAGTAATTAAGATATAATCGTCAAACACTGCAGTGTTTAATTAGGAAGCGTTAGATTTAAGTGAATTTTTAATAAAATTACGAGCGCTCGTATAGTCAGCCATTCTTAGTAATATAAGTATGTAGGACAAATATGCAATTGCATATTTATTAATTACAGATCTGTAATCAACTTCAAAATTAAAAAATGTTGCAATAGGAATGAAAAGTAAAAATGTACGTTGATATATGTATAGATAAGTAGATAGGTAGGTAGTGAATAAAAATAATGCTCCTTTTGTTGTTCGTTTGCACAACAGTCAAAACGTTTTGCAAATGTGCATCAAGAGGATGATGTTATTGAATGAAAATGAAAATTTGCATAAATGGAGGGTGGATGGGATGAGGTAGGGCGGGTCTCCACCCGCAGCAACCTCCTCGTGGTGAGACCTGGGCAATCGTTATTATTTGATGACTAATTAATAACTGTATCATTATTTCTATGGTACATTTATTAATTATGCAGCAAATAATACGAGCGAATTGGCTGCGAAATTTATGCTTTTTTTTCTATTTAATCTCTTTTATATTTTTTTCAGGAACTATGCCTTTGCGATTCTGAAGTGTACCATATTGCAAATACAATTTTACGGAAAGAAAGTTAATAATAATGAATGTACTTACTTACTTATATGTATAATGCCGTAGAAACTACTCGACATTTTACCGACTTGCGAATGGTCGATCAATAAGCCTGCAACTTACCGACTGTCGTAGTAAGTTGTCGAATAGTTTGGGCAGCTTTTGTATGGATGATACTGACATCAAATTTCAAAAATGCGTAAGTTCGTTCCTTATATAGACATTTTTTCAAAATATCCCGAGAACTAATCATTTTTTTGCGATGGTACTCTAATACTTTTTTACGTAGAATGAAGAGAGGAATCGACCTGTTTATAGTATTCTACACGTTTGTAGGAATTTTGTGCTACTATTTTTTCCAGTTCAAAGTAGGAATTTTTATCTCGTTTGATTTTTCAAAGATTTCAATTCAAGACTATTATTGAAGTTTTCCACAAATTTTCCAGGTAATGAAATTACGACACCTGTGTGTCATTTTCGTAGCAAAGGTAACTTGCAGAAACATAAAGGATCGGAGTGGGACCAATGGAGGTACCACCTCTTCTGCACAAAAAATCAAGAGGTAGGGGTGCCTTATAGTGTTCGTCTAAAAGGCTTGCACGATTTCAAACGTGAACACGTTCACGTACTGATCGAATGTATCTTAGCTTTTTTAAACGAAGAAGACACCAGTGCATCGCGTTATACATAAACGATACATAAACTCAAGACTTTTAATTCCATTCTAAATTTCGAGTTGTACGTCGTGAAAGAAAAAGAAAATATCAGAAAATCGTGAGAAGTTTTCTAATTTAAAAAGAACTGGAATATGATTAGTTGGGTTCGAGTCACAACAATGTATATGATATATCAATTACTGATTATTTATGCGATTTCTACGTATGGATTCTCTTTGTACAATGTTTCACTGTTGATCGACTGTCTATCATCTTGCTCGAATGTAAGTAAAACATTGCATTTTATTTATTTTTTAGTTATACTATAATGTAAAAGATTAAATACGAGAACAATAGAAGTTCATGCAATTAAAAAAAGCCATCATTTTTTGTCAGCCGGTATGTTTAATTCCTCTTCAACATATTCGCTGACGGAAAGGTACGTGTTTGCGCAGCTCGTACGTTTTTATCTTAGAAATTTATTCTTCCTTCACGTTCGCATTAATACAAGGTATTTTTATCGTAACTTGAAACAGTGACATCTAAAAAAAGGGGTTTTCTAATAAGTTTTTGCAATCAAAAATAAAATAAAATTATAATTAAACATCTAATGAAATTAATTTATTATAAAATTGAATTTGATTTAATTAGTTAATCATTTAAAGAAGATACGTTATATATACTTGTATTTATTATGTGAATGTGCTAACCACTTGTTTTTTAATAAAAAGACTTTTTTATAAAAGTTCTTAATAAGGTTCCAAAATTAATTTTACTAGAAATTGATTAACAGAATCTTAATTCATTCCAAACTATTAAATTTCAATTATTTCATTTTCTTATTATACCAATTTTGAGGGTAAAACGTATTTTAACGTTTACAAGCTTTGATTTCGCGTTACATGAGATCAGAAACTGTTCCAGACAGACGCATAACCGAGTTGGTCTATACTTAAAACTTAAGATGCAAAATTCGCGAATTTCATTTGAATTCTAAATAGCCACTATAAGCTGTACGTGCAGTTTACGTGATCGTAGTTTTGACTTTCATAAGAAAGTAAGAAACTGTTCTGAAAGATATTCTTCCATTGCTATTTTTATCTATCTGTTTTTTTTTGTTTTGATACAAAACAAAAATAAAACACGAATTTAATTAAATAGAATTTACGCTGCCAATTAACAGCGCTTTTCTCGGAATTTTTTTATACTTTGTATATTTTCTCAAAAATTACTCTTAAAATCATACCAATTATTTTGAGACGATAGCGAATGATATAACACTTTAACATTAAGACAACCATACATTCTCCATCAGTCATGGGACACTTATGGTCAAATATTATCAAATTTTACAAATCACAAACATAAACTATCTATGTTATGTTATAGTTTTATTAGAATAGGTTTTAAGGGTATCTCTTTCTTATTTAGTATTTTAATCGCATTAATTTCACCTCTCCATTTTGTTCCAAATTATTTGTAATTATTTATATAAGAGTGCTTGGAGTTATGCATAAGCAATATTATTACCATTATGACGTGTGAAATAGATAACTGAATCTGCAATGTAATCCAGATTTATTCGAAAATGGTAAGGTGTCCCATGACTTATGGACGAGAGTGAATATTCTTCAAATTTAATATAATTTGGAAAAGTAAAGATATAATAAATGGAAAATTAATTTGCACATATAATTATATTTTTACCCTGAAAATATACTATTGTAATTTTAATTTATTCAACTACTGTAATTTCGCGAATTACCGGTTGAACAGGTTTAATTATATACTAATCGTTATAAATATTTAAACTGATCATAAAATTATTAGTGTCAAGTTTACCAATAAATTAAAACAATTTTTTTTTGTTTTAAAACCAAAAACTAACAACAGCCTGCAATGCTTTTCTTCTCTAGGAAACGTGCGTGGATACTTGCAATGATTATCCAAACGAAATTGATTGTAAGTACCGTGATTTTATATCGCAAAAATTATCCAAAGAAATCAAACTTGACTTAATGGATTAATTGATAATTTGATTTTAATTTTATAATCAAACTCATGAATGAAATCTCAAGTTGAAGTTAATTTAATTAATTAACTATATACTTTGATGAAACTTTTATAAATATCGTAAATCATGTATAAAGTTTTCCTTGTCGGAAGTATGATTTCTTGTCCACAGCAGTCATGCGAATTAAATTAAAATACTGTTGTGCGTCTTCTATTTGAAGTTTTCTTAATAAATTGTGGAAACAACCGAATTCAGGTTGTCTCGAGATCCATTGTTGGACCCAAATAGATCCTTTTCTCTTTTTATTAAATTTAGTAATAACATTATTGCTGCTGCTACACGTTCACGAACTGCACAAATTACTTTCGAAAATATCTCGAAAACTAAAGCCAAGTGGGCACTTTATGGCCCCCGCCATAAAGTAATTTGGGCAGTTCATGTAGGAAACACGGCCTTAGAATGATAAATTCTGTTTTGAGAGTTCTGAATACGATTTATATTTTCACCCTAAGTTATTTTTGTAAACGTGTTGTGAGTCACATTCGTTGTAAGTCAAAAGAAACAGTCGGAGAATTTAATGCGACCTTCGATAGTCTGGATACATTTTATCCTGTTGATAAAAGAAGAAAAAGGACGGATCAGTAGAGTAGAATTTAACAGACGAAACTTATTAAGCAATTGTCTGTATATTTTCTTTTTTTGCTTGATTTTTAATTTTACCTCTATTTTTAATTTGAACAAAAATTGTTTCTTCGAACAGCGATCTATGTCGCTTGATAAATCGCCTATTATTATGACGTATTCTATGTAAAAAGAAATTTTCTTCCGTAGTTTATCCACAGGTCGACGACGAATATACCGAAGCGAACGTAACTCTTCATTGTACCGGTGGGAATTTGATGATGATCAATTTCAATCCTGGGTTTTACTTGATTGAACAAAGTTCATCCAATTACACCCGGAATCCCCCGAAATTGGTAAAAACAAATTCATTAAATTTTTCCATAGTTATAATTTAATTTGTCATAGATCTTAGCCCTTGAAAGTGAAAAATTTCATTTTCCAGGTGAAGGGGAATATGGCAACTTTTACAAATTTGACAGCAAACACTAATTATCAATATCGGTTGTACAATTTAACGCACGAAGGAATCTGGCGGCCGGAAGTTTCAGACTGGTTCTTTACTTATCCGGGTAATTTATTATTTTCACCCGTTCATTTATTTATTTATTTAATTCTTGAACACAGTCAATTAGGGGTAATCGTGATCCAGACTTACTAAATATATTTAACAATGCTCGGACTAAAATTAGACGTTTTAATTAAAAACATTTTAAACAAAAAGGTTTCATTCACTGGTATAAAATTCAATTTCAATTGCAGTCTAAGTGGCTGAGGGTTAATGAAAAAAAAAAAAAAATGTCTGGTAAATAAAGATAAGATCCAATACGGGTAAATGTTCACATTGAACATCGGAATCTAATATGTTGCATTATTTTCAGCTGACTATCAGCCATTGCCCGTGAAAAATTTATCGTTGTATAAAATAGAACCTTACAAGAAGACACACGACCTACATGCCGAATTTGTTTTTGAACCAGCTATAGGTACAATAACATCCTATCTCTCTACAACAGAATTTGCATCTCGTTGGATGGACCATAGTATCACTTATTTATTATAATTAGCAGAATTTAATATTTTTTAGATCGAAGTTGCAGTTACCATGTGGTAACTTGGAACAGAGGAACAAATTTGCTGCATTTTGAAATCGATAGGGTAACGTTATTATTAAAATATTTTTATGGTCTGAATCAGCATTATTTAAAAGAGTTGAAAAATTTCGGCTACCGGATACCTGAATCAGGTCGGAAGTTGTTTTAGTCGGCTGAAAGTAATTTAGATATAGTCTTTTTTAATTCACGGTCATGTTCAACAAAGTTTTCCAAATTTCGGGAACCCCGAATTGACCGAAATAATTCCCGATCCGGTCGGAGTATCGAGTACCCGAAATTTTCAAGTTTTCGCATACGTTTAGTGTTTAATATAAAAAATTCACCCTTTCATCCTGTAATCAATATTAAAATCTGTAATAAAACCGTGCTTTCTATTTTACAGCCAACGCATTTTCAGTTTAACTTAGATTGTTTAAAGATGGATCAGAATAACAGTGTATTCATTAAATCGGTTAACAAACAGAATAAAAAAGAAAGCGAGGCCTTGATAATGTTCTGTACGCTTACATGTTTAGAATATTATAATGATCTAACTTTTTGCCGTGAGTGTGCATTAATCATCGATCAAATAGTTAATGATAATTATTTGAATTGATTATTGCTAATTTCTGAAATTCGTTAGAAAATAGTAAATCGTGAATGGTATGTGCTTCAGCCCCAGAACCAGTAGAAGGGTTACGAGCGGAACATATCTATCGTTACCAGGGATTGTACGATGTTTGGGTTCATTGGAATAAAACTGAATTAGAACCAGATAATTACACGATACAGATTGATTTATATAGGAACGACACTAAGCATTACGTAAAGAGCGTATCTGGGGTGAGTAGAGATACTCGTGATCAAATCAGGCTTCTCTAGGGAAAATGGCAATATAAGGAAAGTAGAAATTCTTAAAATTTTAATTTTGACGATATTAATATTGAAATGTCAATTGCATTGACATTTCTGTCGATTTTTGTTTGTTTTAAAAAAAAATTTTGTATCTGAAAAAGGGGTGGCAGGCCAAATAAGTTAGACGCAACAATAATAAAATTGTCTAATAGGGGTCGTAAAAAAATCTTTTCCGTAGTTTATTAGTTACCGTGATAATATTAAGTCTAATTTTCTTCGTTTTTTCTTTACTCTGATATTTGATAAAGAAGGGTCTTCGATTTTTTAGCCTCTTCGTTGCGCTACTGCTAACATGTAATTTTTATTATAAAATTTATCGTATGTTTTATAGAACACAACCGAGGTTTGTTTCGAAAGATTAAAACTGGGTCTCCAATACGAGGTGGAAATCTTAGCTGAATCTTTGGGGGGAAGAAGTTCAGTAGTAACTATTATTAAATCTCTCGACGATGAATACGCAAGTGTGTCTACCTAATACAATTATTTTTTTTTTAAATTCTAATTGATCAAGTATAACTCAAATCAAATACAGAGTAATAATTTTGGCGACTGGGCTAATTTAAAGCTTGATGTAACATTTCAAAACAAAGAAACAGATCTATAACTAACACGTTTAACAACACAAAATCTAATTATTAACATTTTTTTTTCTTATTTTTTAATATTCTAGAGTAGTTCTATTAACGCTTTTTAACAGTATAACACAATGTAATCGTAGTGCCAGTTGCTAGTACAAAAATTAAAACAAGAAACTCTTTGATTCGAAAAATAAAATGATCTTTTTGAATTTAGGTAAATTCAACATACTTATAATTAGTTGGGACAAGCAATCATTATCGTTAAAATAAATTGTACATATACTGTGAATCCTTTTTTCCGCTTCAGCCGTAAGTAAATTCTATCGTGAACTTATTATTGGCATTGTGATGTCATTCACACTTTTCGCCATTATTTGGATGACATACTTGCAACATTATAAACAGAAGAATAACAAATTCGCCATGGAATGTACGTCTTTTGAGGTGATACGTTGAATTTTAATAAACTTTTACAAACACTAATATTTTAATCAATAACGCAACTATAATTAATAATTCAAGCCTATTGAGTTTAAAGCCTAATAAGTAATACTTTTATTTCTTTTTATTATATTTATTTAAGGTTGCATCAATTTTTCGGTCGACCAAAGTAATACTTGAAAATGTTTGTTTCATAGAATCTTAATCAGAAAGATGTGTCGATAGAAAGCATCAAGAAACTGTTGTATCAAAGTTGCGATGGTGAGACGAACAACATGCCACTTATGAACGACAATTTTGAGCTGTGTCCAAAATTATTAAAGCTAAAAGGTATACTTGGAAGCGGAGCTTATGGAATTGTAAGATTGGGCTCTTTGCAAGATCAGTATGATAATGTCACCACTGTTGCGGTTAAAATGTTGAAAGGTAGAACGAATAGTATTTTTTAAAAACACAGTCATAATATACAATAATAAAATTATTACAGAAATGATAAATATTGGGTTGTACACTATGAGATTGTCATTTTTGTAGATCAAAATGGAAATGTTGCTTTTTCAAATAAGAAATTCTAGATTTTATCTATTTAAAATATCGATTGCCTTTTCCCAATGTAGCGTTAAATTATAAATTCCGTTTCGTAATTAATCGTCAATTAATTTAATATTGACAATTTCACATACTACAATCTAATAAAAATTACACGGATAAGTCTTAACACTCATGGTACCTTAGAACTTTCTTTCTGTCTTTATTTTTAAGAAACATTGCAATAATTTGTTATTTAAACGACAGACAATCCAAGCGTGGAAAATTTACAAAACTTCCAGAAAGAAATAATGATTATGAAAGCTGTTGGTCAACATCCAAATATAGTGTCCTTAATTGGTTGTTGCATTTTGGATAATAAACCAGTGTTGGTAGTGGAGTACTGTTGCAAAGGAGACTTGCAAACATACTTAAGAACAGTAAGTTCAAAATAATAAGTGTAAATTACTGTAATTTTATTTACAGTGACCTTTTTACGGGTTATAGAAGATTATTTTGATTGTTTGAAAAGAAAAGTAAATTCACGTGATCCTGTGAAACGATTTTCAGATATGGCAAAATATGGTAAGCGTTGCGTTTAATCATAAAGCACGCTTTAAATTCGACGGAGATTCGTTCTCGATCTCGAAGAATTCTGGTATTTATTATTTGTTCATTCGTGGAATCACTTAAACTGACGAACTAACACGAACATCTGACCGCATACATTTTCTTATCTTTCTCATGTTAATTAGGTGGAAAAGAGCACAATTATCAAAACGTTCATCTGATTACAAACCGTTTATACGACGTTCAACAAGGTAATTATCATAAGTTTTCAGAAAAAACAAAAGATAAGCAGTTATATTATCATTAAAAATTTAACTTTCCAAATAGTAGAATTCTTTTTTAATTATTATTTACCGAGATATCAATATTAATATAATTCACTGTTTCCTTCTAGGAACCAAGAATCTTCGCATTATACACCCTTAGAGATAATAAGAAAGTTTACAACAAATTCTGGGCTCCAGGACTTATAACTCTTAGTTTTAAATTCAATTTTAATAAATTACTTTGATATTGCTATCTTTATAAATAATAATTAAAAAGGAAAATCGGCTATAATTAGTAAATGTAATAATCTGACTTTTTCTTTACAGATATAGCGCAGTATACGGAAACTGTAACAGCAAACGGTTTGTTGAATTTCGCGAGGCAAATTGCTACAGGAATGGTATAATTTTGTTTCATTCATTTCTTTTTTACATTATGCAAGAATTTTATATAAAATTCGTGTTGTACCAATAAATTCGCGTAAACTTATAATAGATTAAATCTCGAAAAATAAAACAAATAATATTCTAGAACTTATATGTACAAATTTGAAGAACTTCCAATTGATTTTAATTATTAACGAAACTCCTACAGGAATTTCTGTCATTGAATCGAATAGTTCATCGTGATTTAGCTGCGAGGAATATATTGGTGTGTGCAGACAAGATCGTGAAAATTTCAGATTTTGGTCTGAGTCGTGATGTTTACCAAGAAAATTTATACCGAAAGCAAGGAAATGATAAATTACCAGTGAAATGGATGGCAATTGAATCTTTGACTCATCAAATTTATACGACTCACAGCGATGTGTAAGCTTCGCTAATAAATTACCATTAATATCATTAACTCTTTACTTGTATTTAATTTAGTACATCTTGTAAAAATTCAACGAACTTTTGTTATGTTATGTTGTTATAAAAATCTCCATCTAAATATAATGAAAAAAAAAAAAAAAATAAATAAAATTCATACTTAATTTTAAAGAAAACCACCATAATTTTAAAAAGAATGTTTCTAAAAACAAATTCTGTCTTTTTTTTTCAGGACAGGTATTCAGAATATTAAGTGTACTTCTAACACATTTACTTTTATTTTAGGTGGTCCTTTGGCATTTTGTTATGGGAGATTGTAACCATGGGTGCTCTTCCTTATCCTGGTATTCCAACAAAAGCCATCCTAAAGATTTTAAAGTCTGGCTACAGAATGGAACGACCTATAAGCTGTAGCGTGGAATTGTATGTACAATTTTCATTCGTATTTTCATTTAAAACAAAAACTGATTCAATATTCTCTTTTAATCTTTGCATAAATTTTAACAAGGAAAAAAAAAATAATTCCATACAACTTATAGTTATAATTTAAAAAAAAAAGAAAAAGGATTTACCCAATTTAATATCATTTGTGACAGATACAATATTATGTTCTCTTGCTGGACAGTAAGACCCCAAAGCAGACCTACGTTCACTCAATTAAAAGAGAGCATAGATAAACTGCTTTGTCAACGTTCTGGCAATAAGTACCTGAACATGGACGAAATTTTGTACGATACTCAAGAACAGCACGGCAAGCCCAATAGTAATCACTCGTAAAGAAAAAAGAAAAGAAAAAAGTATTTTTAATGGTCGCGTGATTTATTCACAGATAATAATTGTACCGTGTGCAAAATCATTTTATTTTCTAATTATACGTACAATAATCTGTGGCATAATTTCTTTCATATATATATATATATAATATATATATATATATACGTGTATTTACAATATCTTACTCTCAACCTTAAAAACTCAGGCGCAGATACATAAAAATAACTAAGGTTCTGCCATATAATATTTGTTCATACAATTACTCGACATTGTTTAATAACAATAATTACACACAGCACACTGAAATCCATGCCAATCATTTTATGGTTTGTTCTTCTGAATTATTACAATCGATCGTTTCGCTTCATTTTCTTTTATATATTTCCACTATAAAGTCGTTCGGCATTTTTAATCTTTTTAAAAGAAGGATAGATCGACGAATTGAGCGTACAAGAAAAGGGAAGATACACCGGAAACGGAAGGGATCTAAAGAGGAACTCGGTTGTCCGCTTTGATATTATTGCAAATATACAAGTTTCTTAAGATGTTTGTTATACTCAGGAACTGTCGTTCTTTTTTATCCTTTCTTTGATTCTTGACACTCAACTCGTCGATTCGGAGTAGCAAAAGTGTATTACAATTGGTGGATGGTAAAGACCAAGAAGGACGATGTGTGTTTTTTCTTGTTGTATCTCTAACTTCTACGAATGTTCGCCCGATCTCGCTGCGGATATCGTTAGAATACTTAGAAATTGATATGAAAAAGAGGAACTCCTCTATTTATGGAATCTACTCCATATTCGATAGATCCTCGTTTAGTATCTCCGAGAAATTTTAACGCTTTTATCGGTCTTAAGCGTAGAAAAAAAAAAAAAAATAATAACGATTCATAACAAAGTACAATTATAATATGTATACAACATTTCAAGAGAAAAGAACGTAATGGGTAAACATCGTGTTTAAATTGTATCAACTTCCCTAGTCTCCTAAGACTATGTTCCTTTAAAAACATTTCGTAATAATATATCAAGATTTATATGGTTGTTTTTTTTTGGAAAACGTCGCTGAGAAAAAAAAATATCGATAACCATAGAAAATATACAAACATTAATAAAGAAATTGTATACTTTTTTAAAAATCTGTTTGAAATAGTGAAATGGATTCGATTTCGGCGCGAATTTTTTAATGATTCTTGAGAGAGATGTGAAAGCATTTTGTTATATCGAAAAAATGCTATCAGTCCATGAAGATATATTATTTAAGTGACATACAATATATTATTTTTAACTCATTTTATGTAATGGTGGTAGTGATTGAAGTAATAAAAAACTTCATTTGATGCATGGAACTCTAGTTGAAAAGTTGAACTAATTTTACAAATGTTTAAAAATATGTCGGAAAACGGTTTGCTAATTACAAAAATGAAACTAGAATAGACAAGGGGTAGATTTGATTTGAAGGACTTCTTTCTCCTAGAAAAAATTTTTTTTTTAGTAATAGACTTTCATTGAATACTATCTTTTGCCACGCGTTGATGTCGCCTGTAAAGAATGACGTACCCTACGTAATTATACAATCTGTCTATATAGTGTAATAAAAAGTATCTTTGTATTAGGATAATCTTAATATAAATGTAAATTTAACAAAAGAAAAACATTATTCGATTCATAAATTCCTTACTTTAAAGGAGCCAAAAATCACAGGCAATGTAGTCTTTATATCAGTACCCTTTCACTGATAGGAATTTTCAAACCTGGCATTCTTGTTGCCTATTGTTTTTATTTTTTATTTTTTACTTACGATGCTATCTATATCAGATACTATCGTTCCTACTAATTAAACTATCTTCTTTGTCGACTGGTGGTGGACCGGTGGTTACAGTGGTACTTGGACCGGCCGTTAAATAACCAGCAGACACCGGTGTTCCAGCTACGTATTATAATGTATATTTAAGTATTTATTTAAATATTTAATATAAATATAAAATACTAGCATCTTACCAGTAAGGTATCCAGAATTGGCTGTGTTAGAAATAAATAGATCATGCCGTTGATCTTTATATTCTGCCCAGACACTTGATTTCTCTAGTATAGCATTCACTTTCTCTCCTAACAATAAGCTTCTAGTCATGGCTTTTAATGCTTTAACTATTTGGGCTTTAGTTGTTGCAGGATTTTCAATAACATCCAACCGTCCCTCCAATATATTTAACAAATAAGGTACCATTTCAGCATCCAGTGCCTATTCAAAAAATAAATAACATTAATATAAACAAAAAATGTGATCTGCTAAATTATATTGGAAGATCTTTTACCTGTTTTATTAATCTGTCTTCGTTAGTTGAAAACAGTCTATTTAACGTCTCGCATGCTATTGCTATCATGTCTCGTCTAGATTGCATGGCATGTTTTAATGGACTTATACACTCGGTTTGACAAATAGAAGATATACAGATCTAGAAAAAAATATGGTCGAATGTTTAATATGAATACTAATAAATATTTAATTTTATTTAATGTGAAAGGTGCGTTATGAAACTCACTTCACTTGTAGCTAATTGATGAAGTATTAGTATTGCAGTTTTGTACACAGATGGTTGATTGTTTTGCATTGCCATTTGTCGACAAAGTCTAGGTATGTGACCCAATGATGGAACTTGATCTGCTAAAGTTGGTTGTGTTTGAAGTAAACATACTAATGCTTGCGTCGTTAACTCCAACATATCCGGCTGTATGGAAGTATAATTAAATGAAATAAATTATATAATATTACTCAATGATACTAAAATTAAAAATAATTATACTCACATCAGTTTTCTCTTTCGACATGAGTGCCAATGTTGTATCCATAAGTTCATTTAAAAATTCCTTAGGTTTCCTAACAGCCCACGCAGGGCTGGCTATAAATAATCTAAGATATACACCTCCAACTACAGGTTCATTTGTTGCGATATCAATATTACTCTGAGTATCAGGTAACTTTAATATTGCATTAGGGTTTCTTCTTTGCAATGTGTAATATCTAAAAAAAAAAAAATTATTACTGTGTGTTAAGATAATTTCTTCTTTTATATAAATTATTAAGCATTCAACATCAGATTGGCACGTACTCATCTTTCAATTCAGTTACAATCCTTGAAACTCTAGCTTTGGCAATGTCGTCCCAGATCAATTCAGGATTCTCATGTTTCGTTTCAAACATATGTACGCATTGTTTAGGAGCATCCCTGATAGCTTCGCTAAAGAGTCTAGGTAAAAATTTCGACAGATCTAATTTCACCTTTGGCCCAGCTAACTTATCAGACGACATTTTACCAAGTAGTTCTGCTGCTGCTTCGCGTATCTGAGTATTACTTGAATTACAAAATAGATCAAGAACATATACAACAGCACCTAAAATTTTCATACAGTTTAATTAGAAACAAGTATTGCGAAAGGAACATGTGTTCCTGTAATGTAAAAACTTCACTGATACTGATTTACCTTTAGATAATGCATCTTTCACGATCTTCGTAGAACTCATAAGAGCATACAACGTTTCTAGTGCAAGTAGCTGAGATTCTTTTAAAGTGTTTAAAGCTAACAACAAGTGCACTATAACTTCATTCGCTGCGATATCGTCAACGCATTCTTGATTCTTTGTAACATTACTAATTACTTCGAGTGCGCTTTTCTGAATCAATTTAAAATTATTACAACTTAAAAATCCGAATAATAACTTGAAGTGTCCTATACATTGTAATTCGATTCCCGGATTATTTTTTATTACGTTCCTTAAAGCTTCCAGAGACATAACAATATGTTCCAGTTTCTCTTGATCTTTCTTGTTTAATGCTATATTTCCCACTGAGGATACGAATTTCGACGATTCAGATAAGAAGTCGAGTAAATTGATCGTAAAACTTTTTGGATTCTGAAAAATTGTACAATGATTAAATGATCGTACTTTTTACATAAATTTCCCCCTTTTTTTAATAACAAATATTATGCAGGATAAAAGTACCTCTATTGGAAAATTGGGTTGCTCATTGTATATCTTCACAAATATTTCTCCAATAATAAGTTCATCAGCATGAGCGCTATATTTAAAATCACTGAAATCGTATTCCATAATGTCGCTGCCATTCAATTTTTCTTGCCATTTAATTTCCAAATATTCGTTCAGCTCAGCTCTTGTACCGTTATCCCAAATTAAGTATGGATTTGAGCAATTAGAGTTGAGGATTTTCAATATTTCCTCTGGTTTATCTTTTGCAAGTTGTCTCACAAGATAAGGAGTTAATAGACTTTCTAAAGCAGCAACCGTGACAGGATTAACAGGCGTTTCATTTTCTCCTGTCATATAACCACCCAACCTAGCGCAAGTTTTAACTGCTAGTTTAGCTAAATTATTTGCCACTTCCTGACGATTTTCCTCCTGGTTTCTTTCAACACCTCCTTCTTCTAGAGTATAATCGTAATTGAACATAAATAACAATAAATGCCATAGAGCACCAGATTGTAGTAGTTGCATTTGTAATACACTGTCTGCGGCAAGAGAAGAGACACACTCTGTAGCCACTGAACATAACTTTGTTAAATGCTGTAAGGGAATAAGTAATAATTTCATTTTTGAAGAATTAAATCAGTTTATGTAAATTGGATATTTTGTCGAATGGTACTAGTGGCCGATTGGGATTTAACTTGGCGAGCATCATAGAAGTCTACCCTTAATCAAAAGAAGCCTACTCTTTCTTCTAAAATATGTATGTCTGGGAGCAAGCAATATTTCAAAAATGTGCTAACTGTAAAAGTTGAGATTTACCCTAATTATATTTTACCAAGTTTCAAATTAATTGGCTACCAGTTCCATTTCATTAAACTTGAAAAATAATGAATTAAAAATATTAATAAAATGAAGATTTGAAATATGTGCACTAACCTTGAAATGTAATATTCTACAGAGATCTTTAACTAGTTGTGGTAGTTCAATAATTTTGTCTTTACAGCCTCTAAACGACCCAGCAACCGAGAAACATCTAGTGATATGCATGCACACTTGCACTGCTATATCAGTAGATTTACTCGATTTATTTAAAACGGAAACACATCGCGTATATGCCTCTAACAGAACATCTAGTCCTCCTTCTCTGCGAAGTTCTTCTGCGTTCAAAGCAGAACAATGTACTGTATGATATGCAAGTTCGCTAGCAGCAGCCAGCAGTGGCGCAGATTTTGAGAACAATTGTTCATCGTCGGTTTCTAATTTAATTGTTTTGATTAATTGCGGATAACCGGCGTATTTATAAGGTCTAAGTTCATCAGAATATCTATGGAAGAGAATGCTTTGTGTTCTTAAAATAAGCACTATGTTATCAGGATTCGGACCGTCAGTTGACCAACAACTACGGCTGCATAGAAATTCGTATGCCTGATTAACAGCTTCGAATTTATCCTACAAACAGAAATAAGTTTTCAATAAACATGGATTTCAATATTTTCATACATTAACAATAACTAACATCTACATACCCTGCCTTGTGGATTTTTATCAGGGTGATACATTTGTGCGAGTTTATAATATGATTTTCTAACTTCAGCTTCATTATGTTGTTTTTCATTTGTCAACTGAAGAACTTTATAAGCTTCATCCACTGTCATCAATTGTGGTTTCTTCTCCACTTCTTTTTTCCATGCATCTAATACATCTTTCAGTAACCTCACCTGATTAAGTATTTCAATGACAAATATGGTAAAAAAAAAGCTAGGAATAAATATTTATAAAAATACTCGTCATTGACTTACTGGTTCAGGAATAGGCCACTGTGGGAATCTGACGGTATCACAAAGATGTCTCAAATAAAATATTTGACAGAACAATTCCTTTTCCAATTGTGGATATCGTATAGCAGGTATAGCAATATACTGATATCTAGCCATGGTGTGACTTCTTAATTTTGGAGAAAAATCTGCGATGTGTGTCGCTATTTTCTCGATAAGCATTCTCCTCATTTCAGCGTTCCAAATGGCTTCGGGTGTATCGTAATCACCAAGGAATATTTGCGCAAACTTTTCAGCGCCATGATTTTCTAAGTAACTAACCATCGCATCAGGTAAAAGTTGTCCAAGAATGCTACGTTGCATAATATCCGATGACACGTTCTGTAACATTTAACAGCAAATATTAAAATAACACTCATAGTAACTGATTTATATCACAATTAATAAAAGTGAATGCCGCGGACTTACATCAACATTTCTAAAAGCTTGTTTCGTATGAGTTAATTGTAAAAATCTTGCTATTGGTAGAACGTTGGAACCAGTATACATTAATATAAAGTAAAATACACCAGTAAGATAAATTTTCGAAACGTCAGCATTATCCCGCATTATTTCGCATAATAAAGTAGCTACCTTCTCAACTAAAACCGGATCAAAAGTTAATAAAAGTTGAACGATATGAGGTAGGCACTGAAGGTCAGATAGTAACCGCTTCATGCGCGGTAGAGGTCTGATTACCGCGTCATCAACATCTCTGCTTGGAAAATATTCACACATTTTGATTAAAATATTTAGAATTAAGGTTGCTAATTCACTTTCATTTATTACTGGTGTTCCTCTCGCGACTAACGTCCATTTTAACTGCGGAACTTGTGAGATCATCCGCCATCCATCTAATCCTTGTGCCCAAACTTTTGTTTTGTATGTGATTTGATTTGTCATATACAACTCTTTCAGGTCTTTCAAACTAATAGGACCTTTTCGTTGATCCCCATCATTGTAATACCATTCTTTTTCCATAATTTGCTGTTGCTGAGGACCAGCTTCTATTACATTGGTTTGCGTAGGTACAACAGCTCGAGATGTATGTAAGTGAGCCAGAGTTAAAAGATCTACTAATGTGCGTACTCCGTTTTGATCCATAATATCTTTTACGTTTCTTCTATGTAGTATAAGTTTATTTATGAACATAACTAGTCTATCGCGTTCCATTCTATCCGTACAACGTTCCAGCATTCCTACAATATATTTTGTATCCGAAAATGGACCAGTATCTTCGTAATATCGTTCATATACTATAGTCATTGCTTGCAAGCAAAGGCACTTCATTTCAACTTTTGTTGTTAATATGAATCTATGGTACAAGTCATTAAAAAATTCATACCTACAAGAAAAATAGTAATTTGTTAGTTGTACTGTAACTTGTTCTGTAAAACAAACAGATAGTAAAATTATTGTATACATACGATTTCCTTATTGGACTGTCTGGGCTATCTTTCTCCAATAAAAGTCTCAAATAATAATCGCCAATCTTTACTTCATCCGACAGGCATTGGTACTGTACTTCAAATTCTCTGTGATTCCAGGCTATCAATGTCCCACCTGCCAAATCTTTGTCAGAACTGAATGCGCGAATTTCATTTTCAAGAGCTGTTCTCAACTCCTCTCGTGTTTTATGGTTCCAAATTAAATTCGGCAGTGAGTGATCTTGATTAAATTTATAATAAAACAAATTCCAATTTGCTTCTGACTTGATCCTTTCTCTGCGTTTTCGCAATACTATGGGACGCTCTTTGATTTTCTCTTTGCGCTCGATACCAATTCTAGCCCCCCAATGTTGAAGAGCATGCTCAACATGTTTCTCAACTACACGCATTTGACGCTCGATCGCAATCCACTGTGGACTTTTCTTATTTTTCGATGCGTGATCTATAGCTATTTTTAAATTGTCACGGTTGTTTAATCTTTCCTTCTCGAGAAACGAATCGGGCACTTTCCCGTCAGAGTCTAAGTAATTTAATAAACCAATAGGCTGTACAAATGCACAATGAACACAAACTTAGCTATTTTCATCTTCGTAATTAAATCAATAAATGATATTATAAATTTATTCAATAACGTTAATTTACCATGATCCTTTTCAACAGGCCCATAGCTGTAGGATGTCCTGTTACCCAAAGTCCTACAAGATGCCTACATAACTGTCTGTGTGTTAACAGTCTACCATCAGTACCAATAGTAAAAAGACTATTTAACAGATGCCTTGGTAAAGCTCCCTCAGCAAGAGCAAGCTCTTGCATTTTTGCTGCAACCTCAGGAGCTCCTTCTTCGATAATTGCTCTCATTATTAATCCTGCACCTTTGACAATAGCTAAAGAAGGATGTTGGAACAGTTTAAAAAGAGACCTCCCTCTTGCAGCAACCATTTCTAGGAGGTTGTCAAAATGTTTGCCATCTGTAGTTTCACTATATGGTACACACAGAGCAAATGTTAGAAGATCAAGCATGGCAGAAACTACCAAAGCACCTGTGCCATGATTCTGAAATATTTACAAAAATAATGATATTAAATTAATATATAAATAACAAAATTATTTCTAAAAAGAAAAAATTAAAAGTTTAAGAACTTACAATATGATTAATCCACATATCCAGCAAACTTTCCAAGAATTTATTACTACTCAGAAGACTACTTTTATTTAATTGTTCTTGTCTCAAATCACAATCATCGTGCATAGGTTGCATAAGAGCACAAATGCAATCTATAGCAGCTTGTGTTACACCAAAATCTTGTCTTTTCAGAGCTTTTACAACTTTATGTCCAATAGCTTCTCTAAATCCAGGAAGAGTTGTAAATGCAGTGAAACCAATTTTACTAGCGACCAATCTTCTTAAAGCATGAAACTGTGATTCTATTTCCCCATTTGTTTCTAATTCTTTATTAACCAGTGCATTTAAAGCTCCAAGAATAATTTTATCTTTATTTTCGGTAAAAAGACCCTGTAAGTAGTTATTCATCATATGGTATACTCGAAGTTGTAACGTTGTTACAGTCCATTCAAGCGGTACAACAGCCTAGACAACAAAAAGAAAATATTTTTTCAGTTTGCTATGCTATCTATCCATTAATAATAAATATATATATTTGGTTTTAAGATCAATAATTTTCTTTCATATAGCTTTTATTTTATTCTAGTTAAATATACTTATACTTATTTACATTATAAATATATATTAATGTATCTCAATGGACCATCACCGCTTTAATGTACTGTATCAATTTACACCTTCAAGTAATAAATAAGAATGTAAGATTATATTTAATATTATGTATATACATTATTAAATTTGTATTAAATATGTCTTACATCTTGTGTAATAGAATAATTAAGACCACTGTAGGGAATGTTTGCATTAAATCTTTCCAAGATTTCGGCAAAAGTACGTCCAATTGGAGGTTGCTGAAGAAACTTTACATGAGATGTTTCAACTTCCTCATCAACAGGTAAGTTAAGAGGTCCAAGTCGTTTCCCTCTAGTTATTGGATACATTCTAACATGAACATCTCTGTTACCAGATGCTCTAACACCATCTAACAAGGAAGCTAATAAAGAATCTCTGTCTGTTGCAGTGTAACTACGTGTTTGACCATTAAGGTACTGTATAGTAAATAGTTGTGGATTTTCATTATCACGAATCAAAGCAAAAACATCTGATAAAGGTCTAAGAGTACAAACATTATATGTCTGAGGATCTCTCTCCAATAAACAAGTATCCGAAAGACAAAGAGTTCTTCTTTGAGGATCTATATGTCTAGGTGAATATTTGTGAACAGTGAATTCTGACACACTTGTTATATGTTCATCACCACTAAACTTTCCCAATCTTTGAGCAGTAAAGTCATCTAGTTTGATTGGTTCTTTCAAAACTTTTATGCTGATACCTAAGTTATTCATAGCTGATTCCAGCAGCTTTTTTTTAATTTCTTCCATATGTTGAGAAGCAAAAAGATGTAAACGTCCGAATCCTCCACATACAATTACAAATCCATTAGGATAATCCTTCATTGTAGCAACTCCTTCAAAATCTTTGTAACAATAACTAGCCAATACCATATTAGTTGCTGGATCTAATTGGTCAAGACTATATGGTGTCACTTCTAGTACAACAGGTAATCTTGTGTCAGACCAATGATGTTTGTAAGCTTGATACCTCTAGGAAAAGTATAAATATTAATTTGATTTGATTAAATTCATTTAAAAATAAATAATAAAATACCATATTAAAAGACTATTTAAATTTTATTTAGTTATAATGTAATACAAAACAGATTAATTAAAGCAATAAATTGCCAGTAAAAGTGATTAATAGTGGTATGAAATATTTAAAAGATCATAATATAAAAAGTTGTGTATGTATAATCAGCATAGTTGTGTTGGCTATATAGATAACTGGCAATGATTAACTACTATCACACCTGAAGCCTATTACGTAGTAACCATATGGCTAACTTGATAAGAGCTATGATTAAATTTCAGTAACATTCATTTTAACAGTCATTGTGTGAAGAACATGATTCAACTCACCAAAATTTCTTTAGGTTTCTCAACAAATTGATTTCTATACTTGAGAGCTTCAGTTAGTAAATGAACTCTATACTCTGAACTAAATTTCATATTGTCAACTTTACGTTCTTTACGCATTGTTATACTAAATTCATGAGAACCCAACTGATTTCTATTTGTTGGTTGCACGCTTATAAAATCTGAGTATTCCCATTTATTTGTGACTTCTAATGTAGTGGGATTATACGTTGTAATACCCATGGATCCAATCGAAAAAATACGTTTATACCTATTAAATAAAAATTAAATACTATTTTTATCAAATATTTAGATTATTATAGTGTTAATTATAACTCATCATAGTATAGAATTTAAATCTAATGAAACTTTTCCCTGTTTCAGATCCAAATAATTTTCGCTTACTTCCCCTTCCACGAGTGTTTGGTGACCAGAAAGCATGCCACATCCTGGTTATCCTTTATCGGCATCATTGTAACATGTCCTGATAATATAACGTGCCTGCTATTTTCAATAATACTTTAACGAAACACTGGTTATTGTTTGTAAAAGATAAATGGCGTAGGAGGGACATTCGCATACGAATTGAAATGTGATCATACGAAAGTCATTTCTAAATTGGTAACCGCAACCAACACAAAGTATGTTTTAACCACGTGCACGTTGTTTACGTTCGTCGCAGAGACGAATGATAATTAGGCACTGTATAATCGCATTTTAACCGACAAATGTCACTTTCGACGGCTCCATCAGACTGGGAGCAGCCATGATGTTCGGGGGTGTTAACGAACAGCTGTTTCTAGATGGCAGAGCGATCAGAACCGAAAACTTCACTTATTTTTACAGTGTGTATAAAATATATGGTATAGGTACTCCAAAATACTCTGTGTTTTTCACTTGAGTTAATTAATTTCTGTTAAAAAGTTTTATAGGTACATTCATTGTGAAGAGAAAAGAGATACATAATTTGAAAGACAGCAAAAACGGTAAAGACAGAGTATTTTTCAACTAAAAATACAAGTAGAGCAGTTAAAATATTTGTTGAAATTGCAACACATTTATTTACATTAGTTACACTTATTTGTTTAATGCTTACATGTCACGCAATAATCGAAAGTACACATAAAAGATATATTAATTTTAATACAAATTGAAACAGATTTTGAATTATTTAGCAGTTTAATTTGTAATGGAAATGTACATTGTATTGTATACATGTATCAACTTTATTTACATAATTATAATTTGAGAATTAATTTCAGAGCAGAAGATAAAAAGATGACAGAAAATGTACTTAGTGAAAGTGACGAAGGAGAAATAAAATCAGATTTTGAAGAAGATTTTCAACATGAATTACATGATTTTCCCCATGTTTTAAGATTTATTCAACGGATGCATGATCATGTAAAAAAACAAAACAAAAAGATTACTAAGTTGAGAAATAAACTTAAAGAATATGTAAGAGTTATAATCTTTATTCTATTTACTATGCTAGAGATTATATAATTTCTATATTTTATTTTATGTTATCATTTAATTGTAGAAAAATCAAAAATTTGTTCAAAGTAAAACTTTGATCAATTATGGGACTCAAACAAATCCATTGGAATGTGAAAAGGAATCAGGTGTTTCACAGGATTGGAGTACTAGTAATGATAAACGTTCAGCTAGTATTGTAGATCAAGTTAAAGAAGCAGCTGAATCAGCTTTGCTACAAACTGGTTTTGTTTATGAAGAAACTTCAGGTTTATATTATGATTACAACAGTGGATATTATTATGATGCAGTAAGTATTTATCATAATAATGAAGTTTAAATTTATTGTTTTGACAATCTTTTAAAAAAAATATGTTCCAGAAACAAGGCTTATATTATGATGGGAATTCAGGTACATATTACTATTATGATGAAACAAGTGGGACATATCAGTTCCATAGTCAAGCACAAGTAACTGTAAATGAAGCAGCTTCGCATACGCAAAGCAAGAAGGAGCAGAAAACTAGAAAGGCAACGAAGGTTTAGATTAAATCACTGTTATGTAAATAATTTCCAAAAAAGATTGATTCCAGATAGATTTTTTTTTTCAGGTTTTGGATGACATAAATGATATAATAAATGGACTTTCAAACATATCAATTGAAAAATACAGGCGTCAAGCTCTAGGTAATTACCTTATGCTTTTAATATGCACACATGTCTCTCTTGTAGGATGAGGGGAAAAAACGCAAACTTGCAAAAAGAGAGGAACAGTCGGAAGATAATGAACTTGAGGAGGGTGAATGTTCAAGCGACGATAACGACAGCAGTATTACTGACATTACTCCAGAATTATGTACTAGTAGCGACAGTGACCACGAAGAAGACCAAGGTTTATTTTTAATTTGTTTTATAAAACCGAGACATTTTATTGACTAATATTTTTATTTAATTATGATTAACTTTTATATTATTTTGATTTATTGCTACATATTAATTACAATATAATCATTTAATATCAGAAGCTTGGTTTATAAATTTATAATTATTACAAGATTAAAATACTAAACTTATGGTCATAAAGATGCAATTTTATTACAGATTTAGCCAAAACTTATCCACCATGTATGAGAATCATAGTTAAAGAAACTAATTTGCCAAAGTTAAAAATTGGAAATCTCTTTCTTGTTGCATACACGGGTGGTTCGATTGGTCGAGAAGGTGATCACTCTGTGGTGATACCGGATATAAACGTTAGTAAGGTAAGTAACTACAAATAGTAGCCCCATTAATTGATACAGAACATTATTAAAATTTATTTTTAGCATCATGCTCGATTTGTGTATAATGAAGAAAAGAAAATGTATGAAATCATAGATTTGGGATCAAGAAACGGTACGTTTCTTAATGGAAAGAGATTGTCTGTAGCCAAACAGGAATCTGAATCTCACGAAGTTTCTCATGGTTCAATTGTACAAGTTGGCACTACAAAATTATTGTGCCATATTCATAATGGGAACGAAACTTGTGGCCATTGTGAACCAGGACTCGTTCAACAGAATAATAACGCGGAAGAGAATAAAACTTCGAAAAAAGACCTTCACAAACAAGAATTGAAACGATTAAAACATAAATTCGGAATTGAGAAAGATAATGTGGCAAGTGCTAGTCAGGTAGCAACAGGATACCAAGACAGAGCGCAAACTAGAAGACAGTGCATCGGTTCGTTGAATCACCATGCGAAAACACAACAAAGTTCAGTGGACATGTAAGTAACTTAAGTTTTTAAATTATTCAAACCGCTAATTTTCCTTTGAGAATAGTGATTTATTTGATTTTTACGAATATTGGTTCATTCTAGTTCTATAGCAAAAGACAACAGAGGATTCAAACTGTTATCGAAAATGGGGTGGACCGAGGGGCAGTCATTGGGTAAAGAAGGTGACGGTCCAACTGAACCGGTAAGTCGACTTTCTTTTTCATTTTCAATCCGTTCCATTATAACAAATACCTTTGTATTGTACAATCGTCTCAAATGTTTTTCTCAAAATGTCGTCCTCGTGACTAAAGGTTTTATTTCAAGACGAACTGCAGAAGTTGAAGTATTAATTTTCATTAGGGCGTATAGAACATTTATCTTTTACTTCAATATAAATATGTTTGGAGGACGCAGTTGATGCGTCAGCCTCGATCACGTTCGAGCAGACACCAGATGCCGATGGTACGTGAACGTTGAAACGTTCGTCTGTGTATTAGCCAGGGTTCCCGATGACGTCAATCGGCAATTGGGTGCACGGGACGTTGCTCGTTCCACGTTTTGCCGTACTGGTGTCGGTGGTGGTCGGTGCAGCACGTGTGTCCGATGCAGAAGATGCATACAAACGCGACGACGGTCTGCCTAACCCCGGCCACTAATTAGCCGAACGGTTTGGTCGGTCGCGCCGCTGCAATTCGGCCTTGTTTTCGCCTTTTTTTTCCACGTGGCGCTAAAAAACCTACGTATACGTTGCATCTCCACCTTCTGACTGTTTCTCTTTGCGGCCCCGCCACCCTCTGACTGACCCGGCGGGTAGCACATGTGCGTGTCCGCACACAAGTGAACACGTCTGGTCGCAAAAGCCAGACAGCCAAGCTGGTCCTCGGTTGCTTACACTCGCGTCCGGTCGCATCGCATTTCGACGACGACGAAACGAGCGCCGACGGCACGAGCAGAGCATTCGTATGATAACGAGCGTAACTCTGCGAGACATGAAACAGCATAGTAGAAGGGGTTAAAACGTGGGGGCGAGACGAAAAACGGGAGTAGCAGAGATGAGCGAGAGGGAGGAGAGCGACTGGGGGAGAGGAGAGGTGCCCTCGGGTAATGAATGCAAATGTATTGAAATCCAAATCATTATTTTGTCTAGACGCATCGTATGCTCTATTGCACGCTCCAAGGAGGGGGTATCACGGCTTGCGGGGGTGGATTAAGGGGGGTCGGTGAAAGGGGAGCCCGTTGTTTTCTCGCGTCTCTCTGCGTAGCTTCAAGCACGTCTGCTAATTTGCTTTTACTTTTATCCCTGTGATGTCCGACGTTTTTCTACCGAATTTGTCTGACGTTTTCTCATTCCCTTCCCTTGTTTTGCAATCATCCGTCCCCCTCTTTCTGATGGATGTCGTTTCGCTGCGAGCCACGTTTCCCTTTTTTTTTTTCTCTCTCTCTTTTCGCTCGTAAAGCACCTTTGGTTCGATGCGGTATCGCAGAATAATGCGCGTGCATCGTCAAACGCGGTATTTTTCTGCGTTAACGGGTGTGAAGTGATTAATATATTTCCGTGCATCGGCCGGAACTTCTCTTTGTTGTTTATACGAGAACAGGAAGCAATTTTACGGGTTATAAATGTTATGTATTTTGTAGAGCATCCTCGTGGATGTGGAATATATTAGATTGATGCATATGAAATAGTAAATTTGCAGTCTGATTATTAATCTGCCATATTATTTATTTAATAAAAATAAATATCATTAGATTTTAGCGTTACTTTATAATACTTTTGTATCATGAAATTGCGGCAGACTTTTGATATTTCAAAATCGGTCATGTAATATGCAACAATCTGATGCATTCCGAAAAGAAAAATTACCATTGTTCTACATAAATGAAAATAAAACGGAACAAAGCTCTCGAGGTTCATTCGTTCAAGCTCGCTTCTCGCCAGGTTGCTTTATTTCACGGTCGGCTGTTGCGATTTTACATCGACCTCCTGTTTTTACGCGTTTCCTGTTGGATCCGCATGATCTACAATCGTAAACCATAGAACCATGGAAAAGATACTGGTTGAGAGCGAGTTTGCGCTCGGTTCAAGGGTTCGTAAAGTAGACATTGTAAAGCCCTCGAATAACGATTGCCAGTAAACCAGAGGGATACGATAAAACATAGAATTGTCGCGGTAGGTACGAAAGTGCCGTTAGCAGGTGTGTCCCTATCTGACCAAATGAAATCTCACCAGGTTCATTTATTTGAGTGCTGCAGCGATGTGACGAGTGCTTTTATTATCTGTTCACTTGAAAGAAAAAAAAAAGAAAAAAAAATCGAACTCTTCATTTTTATTAGTCTTCATTTTCAGAAGGTTTTTGCTTATTTTTTGAATATTGCGAATTTGCAATTTAAATATGTTCGAGCCCGGGGTAATGGACTTGAATTTCGCCGTCTCTTTACGATGAGTAGATCTACCTAATTGGGCGTGAACGTGTTAGCAATAAATGATTGTTCGTAGTAAAAATTTTAGCAGCACTCGCAAAGTTACTTCGCGTCACTTCTAAACAATCCAATAACTATACGATTCACTGGAAACTGTAAAGTTTACTCGGTTCGTAACTTGGGTCGTTAAAGAATTGCAATTGTATAGCAATCGATGCATTTCTATTACAATTCCTTCCGTTGGGTTCGCACCCTTAAAAGTGCATCCGGAAGCTGCAACAATTTCATTTTATGGACTTTCTCGTATACCGTTCTGTTGCGAGCCATTTCACAGATATAGAGTGAACATCTCTACGGTAGTGCCTTTTACGATTTACATTCATTTCCATATTGCATCTGCTTGCTCTTTACAGTTCGCCGAGGAAAAACGTGACTGATTAATGACGTAATAAATAATCCAAACGTAGCCTCGCGAACGAATGAGGATTCCGTGGTGCTTCCATAAAACTGTTTCGTTGCAAAAAGCTTTTTACGATTACTCTTTGAGGAATAAAATTCCCAACTAAAATCTCGTACGAAAATATTATTATGTAACGTACAGTTACTTTATTAACGCGTTGAGTGCTGTGGGAGATATAAGGTTTACGGTCAATGTTTCAAATATTACCGAAAAATTAAATTCTGATATATAATTAGAGAAAATCACAAAAATACATTTTCATTACATTTTCTTTTTAATTTTCTTCGTATTATTTGAAAATTTGATACGTTGATTGTCGTAACGAAAGTGGCTATTTCAAAATTAATATCATCTCGACTGGCTAGGAACGCACCCCCTTTCGTGTCAGTTACTCCCTTATTTCAGCCAGGGATCTACCCTCCTTCGAGCAGCGGCTCGCCACCATTCTGAACCGAGTGTTTTGATTCCCGCCACGTCCAACGACAGGATAAAAAAGTCGTGGCAGCTAAAAGTGAATCGTAGATCTTGACTCTGCTGGTCTCCTGTTTGCCCACCAAAACCTGTTGCTGTCATCCTCCTCCTGCCCGTGCCTTCTATTCATCCAGCGTTCCCTTTTTTTCTTCTGGCGAAAGGAAAGATAGTGATAAAAGAAGGAAAAGAGGAGATAGGATGCAGGATGCATGGTCGGGGGACCGTGACAGAAAGGTCGAACGAAGGGAAGAGAAACGAGAGACTGATGGGGAGAAGGGTCAAAAGAGTCAGCGAAAGGAGGGAAGAAGGTTCCAAGCGGAAGTTGTACACTTGGTGTGCAGTCCTGGCCTCGGGTAGTACGAAGGAACGCAAGGTCGTTTCGATATTATGTAATGCAGAAAGGCGAGAGAGTGCAAGGATACGGCGTGGATCATCTCGACCTCCCTCGTTTGGACCCTTAGGGGTCCCATTGTCTTTTGGAATTTGGTACTATGTTGTGAGATCATCTTTGAGTACCGATGAAAAGAACATCTCTCCTCCAGAGGATATAGTGAACGATTATGTTTTCTGCAAGTTAGAACGTATCCAAATATGCTGTAAAGTCTGTTGAAATTAATCAGGATGTGTTCCATACGATTGACAAGATTTCAATGTCGTTTGTTTACCAAAAACCAGTTGATCAGTTAAGGGTTAATTTTCTTACCAAAACTGTAAGATATATTTTCTATATTTTTATCAATTTCAAGAAGTACTTCAAATTGATTCATTTCAACCGTTATTCATCTGCGTCTAACCCTTCCCAGGGACCACGCGATAGCTAAGGGTCAAAGTTTAACAAAGGGTTAAAAGCATACATCCGTTCCGCCTTTTTCTCTCCCTGTACGCGAAAGATCCACTACAAAGTGATTCGTTTAAGAAACTATCGCTCCTCTCGAAGTCCTCGAGTGATCTTCTCAAGCCGATCGGTTTATTAACTTTCGCTGGAGGGTTTTTTCGTGTTTCACGCTGCTTTCCATTTTTTATCTCATGTATCGACGATACACGTTCGAGTAAATAATCGTCCGCGTAACGTAAAGATGCGAGGCGTCTTCGTCGAAAGCGTCGTTGTCGCGTCTCGGTCACGGCTGAACGATACAAAGTTATGCGAAAAAATTTCTTCCTAATCTTTCTCTACGATCTTCGTTCATTGCTGTGCTGGTTTATGCAGATACGCCGATTTTTACCGGTTCTGATCGGCCTGGCACCGTGCTCTCCATCTCCATGCTCGAGCGCTCCTCTGGGGCTCTCCTTGCTTCCTAGCAAAGGTATCCCTTAATTTTTTTTTTCCTTCTTTTTTATACAATTGGTTATTTCCAATATGTTGAACAGATAAACAAATATCGCAATATTGATATTAATTGTAAAATAGTACATTTCAATTTAAATTTATAATCACGACAAATCACAAGCATACGGACATCGATACTTAAATAATAGGTTTGGATAACGCTTAATATTAATGATACGAAGTAAACATAACCAGTTTGTATAAAGAATGTTGCAGTTATATGCCGCGATACACGCCCAGATATTGCATATATGCAAAAAGGTGCAATTACGAGCTCGTTAAAAGTGGTAGCGATGCAACTTTATGAACACAAGTGTATAGAATTAACGTTAAAGGAGTCGTATTGAAAAAGTTGGTCGATAATTTTCATAATTTACAGGGTAGACCCAAACTGTCATAAATTTCACTAATTGCAAGTGATCGCCCATTTCAATCATTTTTTTTTTTTCTTGAAATTTGTTCGTATAAAAATATTTCACGTGTTTTAATAATCATAATTTTAGTATATTAGAAGACGAAAAAA